TATAATAATGTGGTGTTAGCAACGACGTTAAATATTGCTGATGTGACGCTTGTTTGACCTATTTATGCCGACGTGGCATCTTTTGCATTTTGGGTTAGTTCTACGTGGCACCAGGCTAGTTTCACCTAGCTTATGTGGTATATGTCATCGTTAATATACAACTAGCATGTATTAAATTGTTTACAAATTATTTATTGAAAATTAATATTTGTAAATTTATTTAATTCAAATTGACTTTAAAAAAAATCAAAATAAAATTTTTGGTGATTAGCAGCCATCATTGACCGTTAGCTTTTATTGATTTTAGGACATGTTTACTTCGCGGGTTACTAAACGGTGCTTATTAAGACTCGCGTTAATAAGCGACGCATAAAATAAACAGTGTTGTAAGCTCATGTATACTTCAAAGGATTTAAAACACCGTTTAATATTAAAATATCCAAAATAATCCTATACATATAGACACACAAACATTCATTAACAAAAGTATATAATATAATATGTGGGGGTCACCTCGTATGCGTACCCATACCACAAACCCTAACCTTACTTATACCCATACTCCCACCCCCATCCCTACCCCTACCACGACCTTAGCCTCTACTCATACTCCCCTACATCCTGATACTCCTAACCCCTACCCTACTCGTATGGGCGGGGGGTCGGGTCAAGGTAGGGGTAGATGGTAAAGGGGTAAGGTCAGGGTAGGGTAAGGGGTACAGGTGAGGGTAGGGTAAGGGGTACGAGGTGGAGGATGGGGTGGGGTCAGGGTAGGGGGTACGGGGGTGGGAGTAGGGTAGGGTATGAGTAAGGGGTGGGGCGGTAGGAGGGGGGTAAGGGTGGGGTAGTGATCGGGTCGAGGTAGGGGTAAGGTTGGGGTAGGGTAAGGCAGTACGGGTGGGGTCGAGGTAGGGGTAAGGTTGGGGTAGGGTAAGGCAGTACGGGTGGGGTCGAGGTAGGGGGTACAGGGGTAGGGGTCGGGTATGGTAAAGGGTACGGGTGGGGGTGGGTCGGTGGGTTGGGGTAGGGTATGAGTAAGGGGGGCGGGGTTAGGGTGGGGTAGTGATCGGGTCTAGGTAGGGGTAAGGTAAGGGTGGGGTCGAGGTAGGGGTAGGTGGTAGGGGGTAAAATGGGTAGGGTCGGGAGGGGTAGGTTTGGGGGTAGGGTGGGAGCAGGGGTACGTTCTGGGGTGGGGGGGTGGGTCGGAGTTGGGGTCAGGTCGAGGTAGGGGTAAAAGAGAAGGGCCGGGGTAGGGTATGGGTGGGGGAGGTATGCGTGGGGGGTCGGGGGTAGGGGTGGGCGGGGGTGGGTGGAGGGTAACAATAGGTTAAGTGCAATCGGAAACTGAAAAAGTTTAAAGTGTCGTTTAATTAATATATAGGGGTGATATGCTTAGTAAGCGGCACTTTAAACACATATCTCGGTTAGTAAGCAGTTTTTTAAACAATTTGCATGTTTACTTCATCTGTCTTACTAACTTAACAGTGACTTTAACGGCGAAGCAAACACCTCCTTATTCTTTGTTTGTATCTTTTGCACCACATAAGTAAGTCTATGCTAACGTCGCAATACCACAGACCCAGTTTAGCAGAAAACAAGCCACATACCCTAAATTTAAATTCGCACAACCACATGAGTACATGACACTTATGTAAACTGTGTCACAAAAAATATAACACTTCTTTTTTAAATATCATGTGTTTTTTGTAAAATTCCCATGACATAATGGAAACTAGAAAGTGGATAGTTTATACGGTGGGATCAAATCATCAAAATACGAAGTAGAATATGGAATCATGTATCATGTACTAAATAAAATGAAAAAAAAATACTCGGTAGTAGGGACCCCGGGCCAAAGGAACCATATGAATTGGTACCCACCACAAATCACATTTTCGATATGTAGGATATAAATAATGATCTCCCAATAAATGGTTGCATGTCTAAAGTAATTAATGTGATTAGAGGGACCACAAGCTTCATTAGGATCCATGGACCTTAATGATCGATCTAGGAGGATTCGTCCTCACAGGAATTATATTCCCAGCTCAGCAACTTCCCATCTATCGTATTATCCCTACAAATGCTTGTGTACCGCGCGTGTATTTGTATGGGTAAACCACACGCTGTCGAATCTGTACGGTAATCTATGCTTCATTAATTTGTACCGACGGCTTTAATTGATAAGAGAGAAGAAGGGTTTCCACTTTCGAGTACGACTTCTTTTTATCTAAACTTATTATTTATACTCCGTATAATTTTGATACGGACCATTTCCCTGTGCTATGTTTCGCTGAGTTTTTTCTCGGAATAATGCTAATTAAATAAATAATTCCCGGAATACTGCTGGGTTAAGAATAATTCCCGAATTACTGTTGCTTAACCATGGTTAAGCAAAGCCGCCACTCCAAGTGGCGGCTCTTCATCTATCTTTATAAAAGCCGTCAGTCCGAGTGGCGGCTCTTATATAGTTATACAAAAGCCGCCACTTCGAGTGGCGGCTCATTAATCCGTAAACATACCCCTTTCTTCCCCAGCCGACGAACTAATCTGCCCTCCTTCCCTCTGCAGCAATCGACGAACGGGAACAGCACGAAGCAACTCCGATTCCGGCCAGCTTTCGTCCAAACGAAGCTCAAATCAAAGGGAAAAGGCTCGTGGTGTACCCGAGGTCGTTTGTACTTCATTCCATCGACTTTCTACTGTTTGAATAGAGGTATTCTACCATTTTTGCTAAACCTAGGTTTTTTAATTGGTTGTTCGAAATTACTTGTTTTTTTAATTAGTTTCTTTGTATTTGATGTTGTGAAATATATAACTTCTTAATCTTGTTATTATGATTGAATTTATATAATTTGTAAAATTTGAATGATACCAACTTTCACCTTTTTTGCTAAAGTTAGGTTTTTTAGTTATTGCTCTAAATTGCTTGAAATTGTTATTGTTTTGTTCAAAATTGCTGTTGATTTGCTTGAAGTTGTTGTTGTTTACTTGTTTATTAACGGATTTTGATTTTCTTTTACTAATTAACTAATGCTAATTAATCATGTGTTAATTTGTTGCTTTTTCATTACACCGCATTGTTTTTACTGGTTAATTATTATGAGTCCTAATTTAATGGTATGAAATCGTAATATGTATCTACGATCTAATACTTTTCTTTTGAATTATAGCAATTGTAGTTGAATTTTCAAATAGCGGCATACGTCATACTTTTTTTGGAATGATTTTTTCATAGAATATGTCTAGAAACTTCTCTATTGTTTGTCAATGGGGAGGAAATATTATCGAGGAGTCAAACGGAGTTCATTATGAAGGAGGGATTCGGAAGATAATTGTTGTTTCCCGTGGGGTGGATCTTGCTGAAATAATGAATAAAATTTATGCCGCCACATCCATCAATCGTATGAACAAGTTGGATTTGAAGGTTAAATATCCCATGCATGGTGGATCATACATGTTGATGCCTCTTGTTGACGACGAAGCCGTTACAGGAATGTGGACTGTAATCGAGAATCTTGATATGCATACCATGGAGATATATGTTGAAGAAGTGGCGATGTTGCCCATACAACCTTGCCACCCGCCATTGTCTTGCCCATCCACAAGTGTTCCAGTTGTGATGAATATGGTTACACAGGAGAATGGAAGATACGTGAATAGTGATGCAACGTTTCTGGATTCACAATGCAATGACGACGATGCAGATGAAAATGTGAACCATGACACACTAACAGATTCAGATGAAGATGGTGGTGATCTCGTAAGTGGCAATGCACCATCCAGCCACTACACTAAAGTTTATGAGCTCCCTGCGGGATTTGATGAATCATGGAAGGGTTGTACAACTTCTAGTTGCTTCTCTGCAGATGGTGAATTCGAGGTTGGGCAAGAGTTTGATGATAAGAAACAACTGATCAACATGGTTAGAGCGTACTCTGTAAAAAGGAACCAATTTTTCTCAGTTGTAGAGTCTGACAAACACAAATGGGTGGCAGAGTGTAAGAGGAGAAAAGAATGTGGCTGCACTTGGCGGATCCGGGCTACTAAGAAACATGAGAAGCTAGAGATGTTCAAAGTTGTTCGTTATGCAGGTCCTCATATACCTACTTGTGTAGGTAACATCGATAACAATGACCATGCTGGTATCACAGCTCAGTTCATAGCCCATGAAATTATTGATCTTCTTCGTACCGATCCATCACTAAAAGTCCGCACTATTAGTCAGCTTATGAAGGAAAGGTACGGCTATATACCTTCATACAAGCGAAGTTGGTTGGCTAAGCAAAAAGCTATCGGTGAAATATTTGGAGATTGGGAGGCCTCGTATTCTGAATTGCCTCATTTCATGTTGGCATTACAACATTCCAATCCAGGGACAGTCGTGCATTGGTACCCACCTCTTTCAGGTACCATTGAGTTATTAATATCATTATTATATCGTATTAAATTTCATTTTTAATTCGTCCTCCTAATTTTCTCCATCTTCAGGTACCACTGATGTTCAGCAGTTTCAAAGAGTTTTTTGGTCATTTAAGCCATCCATTAAGGGCTTTAAACATTGTCGTCCCTTACTGACCATCGATGGAACACACTTATATGGGAAGTATAAAGGTACGCTGTTGGTGGCAATGGGTAGTGATGCAAATAATCAACTGTTCCCTTTGGCGTTTGCTATTTGTGAATCAGAGAATGGAGAAAGTTGGCCGTGGTTTATGGCGTGCATACGTCATTCAATCACACGCAAAGAATTGTGTGTTATTTCAGATCGACATGCTGGAATCATGAAGGCATTTAATGAGGTAGGGAGTGGATGGGAGGAGCCAGATGCACGACATAGGCTTTGCATACGGCATGTCACTTCTAATCTGCATACTCAATTTAAAGACATTCACTTGAAGAATTTGTTCGTTTGGACAGCCAGTCAACGTCAAAAGAAGAAATTTGATGGTGGATTTAACAAGATAGGCGAAATGCATGCACAGGCACGAGAATATCTAGCGAACATTGGCTTGGAGAAATGGTCTTTACACCACGACGGGGGATACAGGTATGGCACCTCAACAACGAACATGGCTGAAGTTTTCAATAGCGTCATGAAAAGTGCACGATACCTGCCTGTAACCGCCTTTGTTGAGTTATCATTCTATCGTGTGAATGCCTATTTTGTGGAAAGAAGAGAAACTAGTAAGAGAAGATTAGCAGAAGGGCATCGCTACTGCCAGCAAGTGACCGAACTGATTGAGAAAAATACGGAAAAAGCAAAGCATCACAAGGTCACAATATTTGACATAGGCCGTGGTTTATACCAAGTGGAGACGGGTCGTGGTGGTCGAACCGTGGGGAAGGGTGGTAAAAAACAAACGGTGAATTTGCACCGTCGCCATTGCACATGTCAGAAGCTGAATATTTATAAGATTCCTTGCTCACATATATTAGCGGTATGCAGAGACCGTAGTTTGTCCTATGATCCATTTGTAGATATATTTTTTTCATCATCGGAGTATGCTGCTTCCTATAAAAGAGTATTTAAGCCCATACCAGATATAGCGTATCGACCTACTTACACTGGCCCACGAGTTGTGCATGACCCGTCGATGATTCGCGCTAAAGGTCGTCCGAAGGCTAAACGATTGAGAAATGAAATGGATGAAGGCCCTACAGGTACTGTGAGATGCAGTAAATGCAAGCAAACAGGGCATAACAGGACGACATGTGCTAGAAGATCGGAAGGACACGTAGGGAGTTCCATTGGGTAATGTTGTTCTTTTATTCACAAATGCATTAGAAATATTAAAAAATAAATAAATTTAATTTAATAATAAAATAAAATAACTAATACACTTATTACTTTTACAGCGCCGATGCAGGTGTCAGTGGATCCCGGACCGATTGATCCTTCAGTCCTGACATTGCAGGCCACGCACCGGAGCGAGGATGTGTGGCGTGGCCTGGATGATCAGGTAGATAGGTGTCGTGAGCACCTACGCAGTATATTCCACATGGGGGTGGACGATAGGATTCTACATTACGTTCGATTAGCTGGGTTTATGGTGTTCACAGATTAGTTTCGACTCTGCATATAGATAGAGCATTACTTACCGCTCTACTTGAGCGTTGGAGGCAGGAGACTCACACGTTCCATTTACCAGTGGGTGAGGTCACGATCACATTAGGAGATGTGGCTGTATTGGCAGGTCTACCGATCGAGGGTCGGGCAGTTACTGGGACTGCATGTAGACTGTGGGTTGATTTGGTACACAGATTGTTGGGAGTACGGCCACACCCTGGGACAGATATTCGGGGGTCCGCCTTGAGGATGGCTTGGTTGAGAGAGCATTTTGTTGGTTTACCTGCTGATGCTGATGACGATGTTGTGCAGCAGTACGCGAGAGCCTACATTCTGATGCTTATGGGAGCTTCCACGTTTGCGGACAAGAGCGGGAATGAGGTGCAGGTCTTGTATTTACCCATTCTGGAGTCTTTTGATGTAGCTGCAGTTTATAGCTGGGGTAGTGCGACTTTAGCATACCTATATCGGCAGTTATGTCGAGGATGCCATCGTGACGGTGGAGAGATGGGTGGGTTTTTATTGTTGATACAGCTATGGTCATGGGAGCACATTCATATCGGCAGACCTGTCATACTGCGATATCATGGGATAGATGGTGGTCCTCTTGATGATGATATGGATCAGCACGCTGTACTTGGGCCACATCATGTTCGTGGCGAGGATCCTTTGGGTCGTAGGTATGTTTATGTTTTTTTTTTGTATGACATACGTGAATCCCTTTTATATTCATATACATTACTGTGTGTCAGATGGCTATTTGCTCATGTCACGCGCACGTCATCCGCTGCTGGATTAGGATACTACCGAGATGCTTTAGATCGCTTGTGTGATGATCAGGTATATCATTTATATCATTAAATGTAAGTACTTTGTTTTATGTTTTTATAAACCATGGTCTAACATAATTTTATATTATAGATGACGTGGATGCCGTACACTGATGAGATTTTAGGGCTGTTGCCTCCTGTTGCCCGAGAGCACACTGAGATATGGCGAGCACGTGTGCCCTTGATATGTTTTGATGTAGTGGAGCATCACTTTCCTGATCACGTACTACGCCAGTTCGGGTTGCAGCAGGTTACTCCCAGACCTTGTGATACATCTGTGGATTTGCACAAGATTGATAGACGGGGGAAGCACACTGAAGATTGGGGGATGCGCCATATTCAGTATATCACTATGTGGGATGAGAGAGCGGCGTATATAGTGGACGGGATCCCATCATTAGTCCCCACAGCTTCTGTAGACTACATGAGATGGTATTACACCATCACACGGGTGTTTATCTCTCCCAGTTTTCGTTTACCCACTGATCATTACCAGCCTAGCTCAGTCGCTCTTCATATGACGGTAAACAATATAGTCAATGAAATATCTTTATTTATTTATTCATGTGTTTTTCACTAATAACCATGTTTGCATTACAGACACGGGCTTTGCGTAGCATCCATGACAGAGCGACTGCTATACTTGATGAGGCGGTAGATGTACAGGGATACCATGACGCTTGTTCAGGCATTGTTTCACTGTGCGCTGATGTATTGGGTCGAGTGGATTATGGATATATGGCCACCTCTCAGCATTCCACCGCATCTACATCCGCAGCAGGGTCTTCTCAGGCAGTCCGACGTGATAGAGTTGTTCTTCAGCCTCGTAACCAGCGCAGGCGTCCCCGAGCACAGCCACATGAACTTCATGATGATGATGATCACATTGACTTATGATCTTTGTATTTAAATTATTGTGTGAAAGTTGTAGCATGCACTGGCAGATCGAATCATTTTGTGAAACACCAGATTTATTATAACTTTTATGGTTTATACTCAATTTTGTGGTGCATTGATTCGTTTTGTGAAAGTTTCATAATATGTAGTTTCATTGATTCGTTTTGTATTTTGGATGTATGTTGTCATGTAGTTTCATTGATTCGTTTTATGTTTCGGGTGTATTTTGTCTTAGTAAATCATATGTTTGGTTGTTTTTTTGAATGGAATGGACTGTGATTTTGTGATGAGCTGTTTTTCTGGTAATTACAGGTTTAGTTGTCTGAATGATGTTGCAGCAGGTTCGTTAACACAAGAGCCGCCACTTGGAGTGGCGGCTTTCATACAGAAGTAGAAGAGCCGCCACTCCAAGTGGCGGCTTTTGTGAAGCTGTACAAAAGCCGCCACTTGGAGTGGCGGCTTTCCCTAACCGTGGTTAACCCCAGCAGTATTTCGGGAATTATTCTTTACCCGGCAGTATTTTGGGAATTATTTATTTAATTAGCATTATTCCGGGAAAAAACTCTGTTTCGCTAATCATTAAATTAACTTTCATTGTAATATTTTAATTAATATCGACTCTTCAAATAAGTTTTTAGAAATTATACGTTAAGATTCGAAGTTCAATCAAAAAATTGTTTTACTTGGACGGTAATTTGTCCCAGACCAGATCAGACCAGACCAGACTTGGATAGTCATACAAATACAAAGAGACCAGACCAGACCAGATCAGATCAGACCAGTTTAGACCAGACCAGCAAATTACAGTCCAAGTAAAAACATCCTTATTGTTTTATAGCTTTCCGGTGTTTGACAAATACTTAAACACACACTCCAGTCTGAATCGGACTGTACAATATTGAGGTGTATAAATGAGCCAAAAGACCCTTAACAAGTTACTCTTAATCATGAGTGCTAAACAAGCAGTCAAACTACAACCGAACTTGGCTCTGATAGCACTTGTAACACCCCGACCCCGCAAGGCCCGGGGTAGTTACTTCTGACCTCTAGTATTGTCCTCACAAACCAACACAAGTCTTTACCACACATTTTATCCTCACTCACACGCACCGTGAGAAACTTCGCAGGGGTTCACCTATCCAACATTACTCCCGTGCAAGCAAACTTGACTTGGATTTCTTAGGAAATGAGCTCCCTTAAAAGGAGATGCACATTGTTGGCATAGGTAGTTCTATTAAACCCTTTAAATTAATCTCAAGTATTACAATCACCCTCACTTAAAAACGCAATGTCCTCGTTTGGCCCAAAAACCAATCTCAATCAAACTCTGGAATCCTCCCCTGCCAAGTGCCCACCCGATATCCAACAGATCAATACAGTGTTGCAGGGTTGCTCTGATACCATGTTAAGACATGGTGTTCCATCCTAAAAGTTCAACCTGATAGGAGGAGGAGAAAAAAATTCTTACATAGTGTTTTATTGTTTTATAGCTTTTCGGTGTGGACAAATACTTTAACATTATATAATTAAAATGTTTGATACCATGTTGGCTCAACGGTATCATTTAGTCACATCACATGACATCGACTGAAATATGAATACTGTTACAACTAGGTCGTCGGTCATAAGGGCGTGTTACACTTTATAGTCTTATGTGTCATGATATAAATGTTAATGTTGTTAGGTGATCGCTTAGAAGCGGGGCTCCACCCCATTGCATAGGGATGATGTCAAAAATGCAAAGGCCCGGTGAGAGTCGAAGTAGTGTTAATAATAGAAGTTGGAGTGTTAGATTGCGCTTAGGCATCACATGGAATGATGAATCTCTTACCGAAAGATCACCTGACGTTGTCAGAGTTATGAGGAGAAGGAATAACAGCATTATCTACATGCATGAAACTAAGTGGGTTGGAGAGAAGACACATGAGATAGGATTAATCTTGAATGTCTAAAGTTGTGGTATTCAGGGAGAGTTGGAACCCGAAATGGAGTATGCATTATTGTGGCACGTGACTGTTGAGGATGTGGTGGAAGACTATAGGAAGAACGACAGCATCATGAGTATTAAATTGGTGATAGAGGGTGAGATCATGTCAGTAATAAGTGCATATGTACTACAAGTGGGATTGAATGCATCTATAACTCAACAATTCTTGGAAGATCTTGAGAAAGTGGTCCAATGAGTGTTAGGGAAGAGAAGTCGGGTCCTAAGACGCGACCTTAACGAAAGTGGTGGACATGGTTTTGTCACTAGAAATGAAGCGGGAAAGAACATATTGGATTTTATCTCGACGTATGGGTTGGCTATAAACCTATAATGAACACTTGGTTCAAGAAAAGAGTCTCGATCTCATCTTGTGACCTATGGAAGTGGAGCTAATAGTATCCAAATTGACTATTTCTCGTTACAGACTACTTGGAGAAGTACCTACATTGATTGTAAGGTTATCCCGGGTGAGAGTGTGTTATCACTTAGCATAGGATGCTCCTAAATGACTTTTGAAGTAAGAAGCACATAATGCGGGTTAAAACACAAGTGGGGCCAAAGATAAAGTGGTGGAGACTCGAGGGGGGGTGTCCAACAAAGCTTTGTACACAAAATGTTAAGTGTAGATGCATGGCGTATTAATAAGGACGCACATTGGAATATGTGTGGTTATCAACGGAGACGACCATTAACAAAGTAGCAAATGAGATACTTGGAGAATCTAAAGGATGTCAGCCACCAAAAAATTAGAGGACATATCTTGGTGGAATTATTAGGTGAAACTAGCCAAAAAGGAATAGATGAGAATGCTACAAAAATTTGGGAAAAAGTTGGACGATGAGAATATAGAAGAGTACAAGGAGGCTAATAGAAATGGAAAGAAAGTCATAAAGGAGAAGGATGAGGAGAAGTGAACAAGGAGTTGTATGTAAAGTTCGAATCTAAGGATGGAGAAAAAGATATGATAGACATGCTCGTTTTCATGATCATAGGAATCAAGATATCGGAAAAATCAAGTATGTGAAGGATTTCGATCAAAGGGTACTAATCGAGGGAAAAAGATAAAAGAGAGGTGGACACACTTTGATACCTTGTTCAATGGGAATAAAGTGCAAGATATTGGTGATCTTACTATGCCAGATGGTATGGTAAACCGGTAGTTTGTGAGAAGGATGCAAACGGGAAAAGTGAAAGAGGCTCTGAGAAAGATGAGAGAGAGAGAGAGACGTGGAGTGGTGACGAATAAGATTTTAAGATACGACAAAAAATCAACGAGTTGGCGGAGGAGTACTCTTATTCCCCCATTTAAGAATAAGGGTGATGTACAAGAATGTACCAAGTATCGAAGGATTAAGCTTATGAGTCTGATGGATGGAGTACCCGGGGGTAGCTTATCTGAGGGGTTATTGTGGGAATAACCTAGAGAGAAGTCAGAGCAAACAAGTAAGAGAGAGGGAGAGGCGATTCTATTAATGAACTTGAGATGTTCTGGTTCTTACAACGGGAAATGGGGGTGCTATTTATAGTAGCAATAAATGCGATGAGAGTACACGTGTCAGTAATCTAACGGTCGAGGGGTCACCTCAATCGGGTGGCACCGGCATTCGCATGTGCACCGCATTGAATGCGGTGGGTGGATGTGACGCCGCATTAAATGCGGTGGTTGCTTGTCTCCAAAGGGAATCTTCGATGATTGAGTTGTTGGCCGAGGGCTCCCCCTATGGCTGAGGGCTTTGTGTAGCCGAGGGCGCTGTACAGCCGAAGGCTGCCCTGATGCCGAAGGCACGAAAGTGCGAAGGCTCCTGTTTTTTGCCACTTTCTTCCAGTAGCTTTGTATGCTCGAATCTGGCTGCCCTGTGAGTTCTGGAGCCTTCGGCCATGTTGCCGAAGGCTACCATGGGCGCACCTTGGGCTCCTTTGAGCTTGGGCCGCTGTGTTTTGGGCCTCTTGTGCTTCTTGGGCCTGTTGGGCCTATGCTGGAATAGTAGGAGTCTGTGGGCCGGGGGTTCCCGGGCCATATACTCCATCAGAGTCCTACTGTGAAATTTTTGGAGCGAGTGATTGAGCAAACACTCTGATGAAGTGTGAAGATTTCAAAGAATAAATTCGATTTTATGCTTGTTCGCTCAATAGAGGCCATTAGCCTTCTTAGGCCATTTCTGAAAAAGTATGGTGACATTAAGAAGGATCTTCATTTGGTTTTTATTGACTTAGAAACTGACTATGATAGGGTACATCAAGAAGTCCTTTGGTGGATCTAAACTAGAAAAAACGTATCATGTAACTATTAGTGGCGTAGCTAGGGGCAACCTAGTCCCCATCGCACCCCAAATTTAAAAAATGTTTATATTTTTTGTGTAAAAAATTGTGTGAAAATTATTTTCAATTTTGTTTTGTACCAGTGCAGCCTGACTCGATGCCCTGACTCTGCCCTTGTTAAGTATAGCAACACCATCATGGATATGCATGAGGATTGTGCTACGTACAATTGTCTATACTAGTGTAGGGAGGACGGAAAATTTTTATATTACTATCGGAGTGCACCCATGATCGGCTCTGGGTTCTTGAATTGTTATAGTCATGGATAAACTTACGCAGTCAATTCAAGAAGATATATTGTATTTCATGATGTTTGTCAACGATATTATATTGATTGATGATACACAATGGAGTATTAAACCAAAGTTGGAAGTATGGCGACAAACATTGGACAACAAGGGTTTCAGACTGAGTCAAATCAAGATTGAGTATATGAAATGCTAGTTTAGTGCAGGTGAAACCAGTGGTAATAGTGGGATTAACGTAGATAGTAAGGAGATACCGGTCAACGAAAGGTTCCATTACTTGGGCTCCATAATTCAGAAGGACGGTGAACTAGATGAAATGTATACCATAGAATCAGAACAAGGTGAATGAAATGGAAGTGTGTGTCCTGATTTCTATGCATTCAAAGCATGTTCATTAGATTGAAGTGTACATTTTATCGGAGGCGTAAATCAAATAACAAAGGGAAAATGGAAACTAATAATCCAACCTTTTAGTGATCTTCTTATAATAGTTCCACCTTTTTGTTATTCAAGAATAATTCAACCTTTGCACCCCATCTTCATTCGCTGGTCCCTGGTCGATTAATGATCTGTTATTCCAAGTTATTTTCTTATCTTTGCAAAATATTATCTTTGTAAGA